TTTTGACATTTTAAAAGAAAAAAGTTTTGCCCCCACCTTTTCATATATAAGACTCACTTGACAAATTTTCTCCTAATTTTTCATATATAATTTCTTATTAAACACATAAAAATTAATAACTTAACAAAATTTCATTACAAATTTTGTCAAACTTTCCATACATCACTTACTAGCTTTTCATATAATACTTTTCTACTCATTTTTCTAATAAAAACTTGGCTAATTTGAGGCATTTGGCTAAGAGAAACTTTCTCCTCTAAACTTTTCTCAACTTTCATTCTTGCATATTATTTGTGTGTTTTCACACATAAATTTTACAACAAAAAGAGGGTAAAAGTAGAATTTTTAATATTTATTTTCTCTAGTACAATTCTCAATTTGTAAACTTTTTTTCTTACATTTTTTTGAAATGAAAAATTTTCTCCTAATTTTTCCTATGTAGGATACCACTTCACAACTTTCATACCAACTTTCTTTATGCTAATTTCTTACTAAATATAGAAAGAGTTAATAATCAACAAAATTATAATAAAATTTTAATACAAAATTTATCATTTCTTATACAATACTTTTTTTTTTTATCATTTTATCAATAAAAATTTTTCTAATAAAGTTGGTTCTTTAACAAAACATACTAAGTTATGTTTGAAATTTTTTAAAAAATAAAATAAATAAATAAATAACTTGAGAAATGTAAAGGATAATCTCTCAACACTCACCTCTAAAAACAGTCATGTGTTAGATTGATTGATTAGCCACAACTTTAAATTTAGAATAAAAACAAATCAAACCAATGAAACCTTAGCCTTGTGGATGGACTGGAAGTTTTAGCACCTTAAATTTCGTATTGGAGTCTTGCTTTAAGCAAGTTTGAACCAACAGAGCTAAGCCAATATTCATCGATTGTTCAGTTCATATATATCTGCCAAAGCTATGAAGACAAGGTTGTCCAATTTCAACTTCAAAGATATATTTTACGAAAAATGCCCTGGATCAAATATTGTTAAATACCTGATGGTGGACATTTGCTTGTTCATTACAATGGTCTTGGTGACTCCCTTGCGTTTACTTGGGGAAGAATATTTCTCAAAACTTGTCATATGTTCTTTCATTTATCAAAACGTTGATCATGTAAATAGGTTGGCTATAGAATGGAAAATTTGCGTTACATAACATTGACTATTTATTTTACAAAAAATTGAATGAGAATTGTGTTTCCTATTTTTGTTTTCTTTATGGTTTTTGCATCACCTTTCAAGTTTGTTGTAGTATAAAATTATCTATATGAATATTGAACAAAGTGTTATGTAGTTTAAATTATATGAGACTATAAAACTATAATTAGTAGATAATAATAAATTTTCTTGCATCGTCTCATTTAATAACTTATATTTTACAAATTTAATATAATTCAAAATATAAAATAAAAAATCATGAGTATTTGGTTTTCCATTTACTTGAGGCACCATCTACTCTTGGACCCAACCTTTTTCCATGAGCTCATTTTTAAATGCAAAGCCCGACCCATCAGTTTTAAATTAAATTTAAGCTTTGTTTAAAGTTGCAATTAAGTGTTGTGATGTAGTTTTTTAAATACTTTACCATTACGAAAATTATGTTATCATTTCATAATTATTTTGAAAATAGTGCTATACATTAATACAATTAATATTAAATTATACATTAAAATAAATAATTAATATTAAATTATATATTAAAATAAATTAACACTTTTAATAAAATGCTATGTGTGAAAAAGTGTAGTGATAATGCAACCAAACACAACCTAAATCCAGTTATATTTAGAAAAAAAAAAAAAAAAAAAAACCAAAAAAGGAAAAAGCGTCTCTTCAACCATTCGAATACAAGTCCAAAAGTAACAAAAAAGCACACCAGGCAAGACGATGATAACTTTCACACAAGGTTTGCTAACCACATATAGGGATTACATGTAGTCTGTAGGTTAAGAACCAGTCTTACATTCAAATTCCTGCTCAAGGATTAAAACAGGCCTAACAATTCTACCCGTCTTTAGAGTTTAGTCATCATATTGAAAAGTGACTAAATATAGAAATTAAGAGAAGCAAGTTAAATGTCATTAATAAATTCACGGTAAATTTTAATGGAGACAAACTTTAATGCGAACACAAACTGGAAAGCAAGATTCTTAGATGAAGGATATTATCCATCGATTAACATATAGAAACTTATACCAACAAAAACAATAAACTGCAATTCCCTGCTCCTGCTAACAGGGGTTGTTAGCATTGATGCTGGACTGGTACGTGACATGGCTACAATTATTGCAAAGTATGTACAGAGTTGCTGCACCATGGTTGCTTAAGTTTTTTCAGCGAAGGCAGAGTCACTGAAACGCCCTGACTCGTGTGGTTCATTGCTGCAACTCCTTACAAATTGTTGCTGTAGCTGAAATAAGTGCACATAAGAAAGATTAAAACACGTAATATATAAATTGCTCCAATGTATTTTTTCTGATATAATCTGTGGAAGTTTAGAACATACATGACAAGATTAACAAACCTATTAACCTACTATCAAATTAAGGCAGGTGATGGAGCCTGCCACGATGCAGAAACAGGTTTGACTACATCACTGTAATTACATAATTAAAAAGAATATATTACACATAAACAACTGAGTAATCTCAAGGGTCCTGTCATTAAAATGGTAAGTGAGTTTAAAAGTAAATGCAGGGCAACCTGACATTCAAATTCCACATGTATTACTTTATTCTGTTTAGTTGAATTCTTTCATTCTGCCGATCAACCCTTTCCACAGGAGAAATTGTTTGTGGCATTGTCATGCCTCCTGAAACAATGATTTCTGCATTATGACGAAAAAAGAGAATGAGAATAATCAAATTCACAAATGTGCTTTTTTTTCTTTTTTCTTTTTTTCTTTTTTGAAAAGAGAGGAAAAAATAAAACAAGCTGGATCACAAGGTAATATCTAAAAAGTAACTCCTGACAGATCACAAGCGAAAGAAATTGCAGACAGCATGAAAAAATTTTGAGGAAATATGGTTCAAATGCCAAGATTTCATTTTCAAAGATGGCAAGTCGCACAATGTGTTCATTCTATTTGTTAAACAAATAGTCATTGTGATGACATGAGAAATTGTTGTAGATAAGAAATTATACCAATGCCTTCCCGGATGGAGAGATTTGGCCTTATGACATCTTTGGCGTTAACCAAGAAGATGTCACCAATGTATAGATGGTTTGTTGGGACAAAAACACTGCATAACTCTTCATCTTCATTTTCTCTCTGCCAGAAACAACCACAACAGAACCAACAATGAGGAATTTCAGAAGAAAAGGAAACAAAATAAAAAAGAAAGTGGCTTTTTTACATGAGTGTCTATCTATCCACCGGACAGGGTGGCATCTGTAAAATGCGGAAAAAACACATTCACAACACCAACCTAATTGGATTCGTTTCAACTTAAGTTTACAAAGGTTAATCATTTTGCAACTTATACAGAACATGATTATCTTTGTACTATGTTTGCTAGCTGATATATCCCAAACTAAATGAAAGAAACCTGTATTTCTGCTAAGGGGCAACTCAAGTGAAATTCTTCTACTTATTTTGAAAAACAGATCCGAAACCGAAAGATACCTGAAGGGTTACAGTGGATGTGATAAAGCCAAATGCATATTCACCAACACGTGGATGACGGATGATAGCTACCTCCTTAAATGCTGTTGTATTTTGATCTACAGGGAAGATAAAGGCATTGCATCAATTTAAGGCAAAGCTATCTAGTCGTGAAGAGTTAAATGATGCAATATAATATTGTCTTCAAATTAAAATGGACTCCTAAAATATATATCAACCAAAAGCCATATGGTTACAATCTCAAAAAACATAAGACAAGTACATCTTTTGACCATGAAAGCTTTAACCCAAGCAAGATCAATATCCCTTCTACAATGTGCTGTACACACACACACACACATGTATATATAGAGAGAGAGAGGAGGGATCCATTTACACACAAGTCGTACACACCACACTTAGACAAAATCTTGACCATTCATCTCTACACTTTCAATGGTTGAGATTTATCATGATATTTTAGATGAAAAAAATAATTATCTTTAATAAATGTGAATAAATCTCAACTATTGAAAGTAGAGAGATGAATGGTTGAGATTTTGTGTAAGTTTTGTGTGTAAGACTTGTGTGTAAGTGGATCCCTACTCATATATACACATTATCCCTTCTACAATGAGATATATCCAAAAAAACCAATTCATGAGTTAATATATCAACACTAATCACATGTCTACAGCAAATGGCAAAGTTTTGAACAAATCCAAGGACAATTAAGTAGGCAACATACACTTACACATGATGATACGAAGACTAGTAGCACATAAACAATAAGCCCCCAATATTTTATACAATTTTTTATTGCAAATATGATTAGACACTTAAAAGTTAAAACAGAACAATTAAAGAACAAAAGCAAAGTACTACACTAATAATTTGAATGATAATGTGTGCAATTACTTCTTGAAATGTTAAACCTTTGCAAAATTTATGTATAAAAATACATAGTAAATTAGGTTTAACCTGGAGATATTGCAGCACTAATTTGTTTGGAAGCTGAATATATATGCCTAACAAAGGGCATTCTCTTTATAATCCATTCTCCAACTGAGAAAACAGCAGCACCCAACCACGAGGAAACAAAAACGCCAACAAAGAATACAAAGAGAAGAGATGTGATAAATCCAAGACCTGAATCAAGTAATCACTGCTCAAAACACCATCTCTAGGAGCATAAAACCAGAAAATAAATTTGGACAGAAAGCAGGCAACACAAAATAATAACAGGAGGGAAAGTTAGACTTGAGTCATGAATTAGAATCAAATACTTGCATATTACACATTGAGGAATAACGATTGGCAAGTTGACAAGAAATTTATTCAAGGAGCAAATTGTGCCCTGAGCTAGTACCCAATAAACATAATGAGTTTCAGGTTTTTAATTGAATGGTAGCCATAAAATTTACAAAAGATAGTTACCATATAACATTCATGCTTTTTTATATATTAACAAGCAGCTTAAATATGGATTCAATTCCCTTAATAAACTGATTCAATTGCCAGAGTCATTCCATACCTCCAGTGCAACTGATTCTCTATATGAATAAGGTCATTTTAATATGCATCTTTTGGGCTACGACTACCAATTTATTGGGAAGACAAACTTAGCTATACTTTCAGAAACAAACAATAATGTGGAAAGAGCAATACACTTACCAAATATGTTGATGCCAAGTTGTTCATATAATGGACTGAAGAACCCATCAACGAACTGAATAAACCACCAAGTAACAAAGAATGTAACTGCAACAGGGAAAAGCACCACACTGCAATTTTGCAGTTAAGACAGTGTCAGAGTTGATCAAACTCTAAAAGAAAAAACATGTGGAACCATAGACCATCCTCTTTAGCAATATATTAAAGCTCAATACCATCCAGTCATGAATTTCTTTGAGACCCAGCTTTGCAGGACAAAACAACAAGCCTGAAAAGATGAATGAAAGATAAACTTTAAAGTTCAAATTGATAAATAGAAACTACATTCACGTCTTAAATCAAAATTATAGAGAATAAGCCACAACAAAAATTCTAGATAAAGAGTTGCAGCCATAAATGCTTCTAGTGTTTCCACAGTCCAGTAAGTGCCTATCGTAGCAAGAAATAAAAGTTTTAACAGCACTTAAAACCAAATCTCAGATGTTATGATGTGTTGAAAACAAAGGCTTGGATCCCCACAATTTTTCTAAATGTCAGAAATGCTAAAATACAATAATAAGAGACATGAGAACAATTAGTCAAGGAGGGATCATATGTACTATATTTTCTCATCTTCCTAGCAAGAAAATATGAATTACTATCAATTTATTTGATACTAGAGAATAAAGAATTGTATGGATTGCTGGGGGAAATCAACATCCCCTTGTTTCAACAGAATTCAAACTGACAACTTAGTATACCATCTCATGGATAGAAAGGCCAAATTGTAGTTATGAAGAAATAATTTGAAATAATCTAAGGAAGATAAGTAACTCCAAGACACGTCTTTTGACCCTAAAACGCATGATTCATTTGTCCCTAAAACGCATGATTCATCCAAGGCATGTCAATTTGTCCCTAAAATGCATGATTCATTCAACTAGCCAATGGTAATCATCTCCTAACGAGGAAATAAAGACGGTAGAGAAGAGGTCAAACGTATAAATTCAACTAACTAGTTTAGACAGTGATTTGTTGACTATAACAGCTCCAAAACAAAAGTGGCGAGCAAGGGAATATTCAGAGCCCGACATCTTTATCCAAAAGAGATCAAGTCTTATTCTTCTTTCCCACACTTTATCTCGTGACATAAACTCTAGCCACTCAGATGTCTTGTAAAGAACTGAGGTGATTGCCAACCCCACACTAGACACTGCTGTCACTGATTCAAATTTCTATAATGGTTGCTATGTATTTTAATATAAATTCTTTATTCCCTACTAAAAACAGACATCTTCACGAAATTTTAATCCTATTTTGAGAAAGATTATATTTTCTACCAAATTAATGGTTTAGCAGGATCAAGCTGCATATCCAAAAGAAAGATTAGTTTTTATGCCTAACCAGAAACCAATTGTCCGAAAATAACTAAGAACCCAAAATCTTCAGAAAATCTTCAATCAGAGAGTAATTTGAATATGATTTAACTGCTAATTTCACACTTATATGACATTTAACCTGCAATCCATTACACTAAGGACTAACAGTCGGAAATCGAAATCAGTAAAATCAAAACCAAGCACTACGAAAGCCGAAAACGAAACCAGAGAATAGAGCAGAAAATGAAGAACAGAGATCTGGAAACTCGGTCAATGGGATCCATGAATGTCGAGGCCGAGTCATCAGAGAAGGTGAAATAAGTGAAGAAACGAGATGACTGACCTTGCGAGTGGAGGAATTAGGGGAGCTAGGTGGAGACTTGACCGGATCCTCTGGATCGTCGGCAGCATTCTCGGCTTGGCTGAGTGGAATCGACGTCGATTCCTTCTCCTCGGCCATCGGTTTCGCTTTAAGAGAAAATTGTTGACTGCAACCAAGAAATGAATAAGGCGGGTATGGTCAGCTCAGAGTGGAAGTGATTCGGTGCAGGTCTTAATGTCTACTTTTTTTTTTTTTTCCTATGGTCTCGAATGAATCTCGATTGTAATTTGAAGGGAAAATGTAAAACTTTAATATTAAGAAAATCATTAATTGGATAGTGACACCGCATCTACTTTCCTAACAAACGCCATGTGGCCTTTTTTTTTTTTTTTTTTTTTCCTGCAAATTACGGTCGTTATTTATTTATTTTTTCCTGCAAATTACAGTCTAACACGGTAGTACTGGCAGGCATTAGCGGTTTTATTTTATCTATAGTTTCTTTTATTTTATTTTTTATAAAAATTTAAGAGATTTATTAATAATTGA